AAAGTATGGAAGTATTTTGACTGTATTGATTTGGCAATGAGTGTTGGTAAACGCATTCATTGGTCCTGATGATACCTCCACATGGGGATTGCCTGGTAGGTTTAGGATTGAACTCAAGGATCTGACACTGAAACCCTCCTCTCCCCTGAGAAAACATGAGAATACTATGATCTGCTCTCTGGCCTTTCTCATCACAGGCTGCTAGGCTGAGAGCAGACCCTCTCCGAGAAGGATGAGAATTTGTCCAAACTGGTGGGGTATGTTTAAAAAGGCACAATTCAGTGACCAGAACATGTGCTAAATAAGCAAACCTGTTCTTTCTCGTCCACCTCGACTGTCCATGATTATGATGTAAGTGTGGGCCAGTGGCTGGAACTATGGTGATTTTTTCACAAATGCCAGTGTCAAAATTTTGCCTCGACAGTATATCTGTAACTACTAATAATGCTGTTTTGGGCTGACTCAGTTGCTTTGAAATTGCATGGCTCTGTTATGAGTAATGAGAGGCAACCAATTATCTATAAAATAACGGCATGCACAGTGGAGAGTGTGATGAATTACAAATGAACTCTGCTGACACGACAGGGTGTGGAAACCTGCCCCGCTCTTCCTATCAGAGTTAGGGGTGATGCTTGCAGACTTCACAAGCAACTTAGCCCACTCCGTTGGGAGTGGGCACAAGGAGAGAAGAAAACCTTCCTTCACCAGGACACATGGCAGTGCCTTAAAATTAACTAGGAAGCTCAACATGGGTGTGTAGAGGAAGCCCACCCAAGTGTTAAACACCTGCGTAAAGAATGATTATATTCCAGGAAAGAAGCACAGCTACATAAGGGATACGGAGGCACTGTCATCTGATGTGATTCAGAACACAGACCGGAAGAACCATCACAAAGCCCCATCCTGGAACTTAGCCCAGTGTGTGGGGAGCCAATGCATACATGCACCTAAGCAGAAGGCAGATGTTGAATTCCTGGAACCAAAGGACTTCCCACCTGGTTGGGGATCTGTCAGGTGGAGGAGCTTCATTCAGCAAACCTTGGGCTGCTGGCTCTGCCTGTGGCTGATGAAGGCAATGCCGATTTTTCACTATTGCTTAAGAAATTGCAATTCAAAGTAATTTTTGCTAGGGAAAGGATACAGAGAGTAGTCAAAACACCAAAACAACCTGCAAGGTTCCATGGGAAGATCAAGAGAATTTTATACATCTAAGCGAATGTTTATGCCCTGATGGCTTCAAGAGGCTGAATGAAGAGTTCACAGTTTGCGGATGTTTATCTCTGTGGTCCTGTGGTCATCTTGTCATGCCGAGGATTAATGGGGATTTATACCTAAAGATACAGAACCGGGGTTTCTACTTACTGAGAGGTTGCTAGTATTTCCGCACCAAACATTCAGCAGAGGGCAGTTTTGTTTTGTTTTGTTTTGTTTTGGTCTATTACAGTCCCTTCCCCATAGTGGGCATCTCTGGGTATAGGTCAGCACATTCTTCTCTGCAATACACTGGTTTTTAAGGTAGACTAAAGGCAAACAAAGTGTGAAGGCCAAGGCCTAGGAGTTGGTCTCCCAGGAGAAGCAGTGATTTCAGATAGATCCAATCTGTCTGGAGACTAAGTATGCCTATGGAGGGGGGAAGGGGGGTTGGGCATGATGTGGGGCTTTCCTGCCTGGCATTCTCCAGCCAGGTACAAGAGACTGGCCTCTTATCCCTAGGTAAGCTGACTCTGGTTCCCCCCAGTTGCCTTATCTTCTCCACATACCCGGAGAGAGACATGGGGAGCACTGGCTTAGGGTGATTGCTACAGGTCTGGAGTTACCTTGCTATGGGTTTGAATTCTGACCTCCATTGCTGTCTTCCAAAGATGGGTATCATTTGTCTGTTTATGATAATTTTAGACGATCTTCGCTGAATCTCACTATTAATAAATGATTCCCTTTTAATCCTTTTAAATCATCAAATAGAGAGTCTCAGTTCAGTGCTGGAATTCAATGCGTCTGTAACTATAACACACAGAGAATGAATCTCAGTCCCAATGGCTACAGGCAAGCAACTGTGCCAAGTGGGAATTCATCCGCATTGTTTTTCTTTCATATTTATTTTTATGCTTAATTTCTAATTACAAATAATGTTTTTCATTGAGGTTAAGACAGAAAGTTTAAAAGTGAATCAGGTAAATAATGAGTAAACAATGCCCTGGTGGTATACAAAGACAAAAAAAAAAAAAAAAGCCTGCTGACATGGGAATGAGAGAGATGTGAGAAACACTGTATTTGCCCAAGGTCATATTACTTAGGCACTTGGTCACATGGTGGAGTGAAGAGAGCAGGCAGCCTAGGTAGGAATTAGTTCCATCTGGAACAACTTGCAGACAAGGGGAGTTGGAATGGAGGGCCCGTGGCTGGGAAAGTGAGCTCGTTTAGCAAGGTACACAATACAGAGACTAAGAGGATGGTCTTTGGGGTTTGACCCTCTGGGTTCTAGCTCAGCTCCGTCACTTGGAACTATTTACCTCAGAATCACACTTAACATTACAGATTCCGTTTTCTTATTATCTGCAAGATGGGATAATAGCACCTGTCTCTTAGAAACCCTCGGAAATGATGGCTACTGTTACGCTTTCCAGGGCTGAGCCCTAGCCTGCCTGCCTTTACGCATGTTGTGAATTGTGCAGTCTTGCTGGTGATCAACATCAGTGTCTTCACACAGGGTCTGCCTAAGACTGACTTGCTGCTGAGGGTATAATGGGGAAACCTTGGAGAGGTCAAGTTTGTCTGAATTCCACATAAACAATGAATAATGTTTTTTAGGCCTAAGTATATTCAAATACTGCATGATAGCCCTATTTACAAATGAAATTTCAGAAGCTCTATGGATCCCTTAACATTGCATAAACATTTGGCGTGCAGGTACATTTTGAAAAGGAAGGAGTGTGGGTGTCAAAGACCAGGTAGACCAACTCAATTGTCAGGTTCCCTAGAAAGAATGTTCCCTTTCCGCTTTGTCTCTAAGGGGAGTATATATTATCCCTTTATAGGAAAGGAGATGATGATGCTCTTGGTGAAATCTTAGGACCCTACGCTTAAGTGTCTCACCTCCAAGTTACTAGTTGAGCTATTTGGCAACCCCCATCATCACTCCTTTTCTCTGTTCCCACCCCTGATGGCTGAGAAAACTGAAGGTGATTTGTTTGGTCTGTAAGCAAAGGCCTTTAAAGAAAGATATGGATGCTAATTAAAAAAAAAAAAAACCCACAGGCACTGTGGCAATAGTTTGTATAGCAAGCTGAGATGAATGTCTTTCCCTCAAGACTTCCATGGCAAGTTGATTCACCCAGAAGGCAGGAGATGTTAGCCCTCAAGGCGCGACAGAAGCAAAGTGTGCAGAAAACTTGGGTAGTAAGTTTAAATCCTCTTAAAATGCCTAGAAAATGCATTCTAACACAGAGTCCTACAATTCAGCAAGCCTCAGGAAAACCCTAGAGCTTTCTTGTCTCAATTTGGAAGTACCTATTACATAAGAATCAGGGGAAAAAAAAAAAAGATCAGCCTAGTAAATTGAATCTGAAGAACAGTTAACCCCATTTCAATGGGACATCCTACAGTGACACACTGGCTTTCAGAAGAGGAACAGAAAGCAGCCATGCCTATGTGCCTGTGTTCTTAGGTAGGCTGGCTAGACCCAGAGGAAGAGAAGGAAGAAATGAGAAGGTGAACAGTGGAAAAGTTTAGAAATAAATGATCAAAGACAGTTTCCCTTCAGGCAATTGAATGCAGAGCTGACAAGCCAATGACACTCTCTGATTTCATTCTCCAATGAAATAAGTGTTCTAGAATGCAAGTGCCTGAGCACTAGGACATGCATGAACAATAATGGGGAAGACGTAGTTGACGCTCAGTCTTTAAGTAATCGGAACACTTTAAAAAGAAGGCCTGGGAAAGAATGCACCAAGAAATGCACAAATATTAAAAACTAACTAAAAAAGACTCCTACTTCAAAGTGAAAGTGGAATACAATTAACATGTTTTCTACCTAAAAATCATGACCATTAAGCAGTGGATATAATTTTATATAATTCAATTGCTACCGGTATTCACTAATTGTGCTTTAATTTGTGTCTGATCTACTTCAATAGCTTATAATATAAACACAAGACCAGATGAAGTGGACAATTCCCAAAAAGGAAAAAGAAACTCTTTAGGGGAGAGGCCTTTTATCTGAGGTCCCTGCAAGGAGGTTTTTGTTGTTGTTGTTGTTTGTTTTTTTGTTTTAAAGCATTGACCGATAAAACATGCATGGTATTTTTAGTCTAGGGATGCCCCCAAATTTCATGGCAACGCCACTTATTAGTACACTTCAGAAGATCCGTAAGCCCCTGGATATTCCATAAATATTTGGTGTAGATACGCATTTTAAAAAGGGAAACTGACTATAGCTTTCTACCAGAATCTTAAATCTGTGATCTCTCAAGAGTTCAACCTCATTAAGGCAAAGAGAATTTTATCACGTCCGCCCTTCCCCTGAGGCCTTGAGCTTCCCAGCAGCCAAAACTAAAGGGAATTTACAAAAGCAATTTACCAAGTAGCAGCTGAAGAGAGGAGTCCCAAGTGGAAGAAAGACTCATCTGGGTGAGTAGGTAGTAAACTGGCTCACAGCCCCTTCTAGCCTAAGGTAGAAATTTGAGACTAGAGCTCTTAGTGGGTATTGACTTTTTAAAGGATCAGGTTTGCATTACAAAAGATCTTGGGCTGCCTGGGGGGATTGGGGAAGGGCGCTGGAAGTCTGTGAGCTGACAGTTATGTAGACAGTGGCCTGGAGGCGGGGAAGAAGAGGAAACCCAGTGGTAGGGATCCATGCCTCAAGGGTCAGGGTTTTCTCCGCTCTGGCGTTTATGTCTTTTGAATTCCCTTGTACTTGCTTTCCTGTGTCCCCATCCTGGGCAGGGAGCCTCCTTCCAAGGCCCCATGGAGGCTGTGTGTGATGATGAAAGCACAGTCTTTACCTGCAAAGTCACTGAAAGTACATCCTGAGCGCTGCGGCTTCTGATGCCATTTCCTCCTCAGATCTCCACAAGCTTGGGGAGTCCTCCTCTTTGTCATGTTTCTGGAGCTTTGGAGAAAACAATGGGATAGGATCAGTAATAATGGGTCCTAGGGATCTCTGTACAAGCGTTGTACAGGATGGCTGAAAGGAATTTGCAAATCAGAGGCTGAAAGGTGTGTGTCCTTTAATTGCATGGGCTGCCAACATTTGAAAATGGGGAGGTGTCATGTAAGTATCCACATTTCCAGCTTTGGAAATAAAAAATACCCAGATCAGGCTACACTGTGGCCTCTACAATGCCTTGTCTTGTCTGCGTGGGAAGTCACAGACTGGGGAACTTTGCTCCCATTTACCATAATCCCCAGTACCCTTTGACCTTATGTTTGGCTGGCATCATTCACTTATGTTATTCACCATTCACCGAAGAAACTGTTTGCCACCTACCCTTGATCATTCTCCCAAACTGGTCTATGGTTTCCCTGCTATTCTCTTTGGCCTAGTCTCTCTTATATGAGCTCGGAGCAGTTTTGTTCAGTGAAGCAAAATAGCCCAAGCAAATCTGTGATAACAGTACAAGAGCCTTGAGTCCTGGGTAAGAAATAAGAGCATATCCATTAAAAGAGGCTTAAGCAGGCAAACAGTTAAAAAAAAAAAAAAAATAGAAAACATCAAAAACTTAACAATGGATCTAAGTCAACTAAATCATTTTAAAATTCTCTTCAAATACTCATATTTATTTTTAAAAACATCTTGTTTATGTCTCAGATTTGCATACAGAGTAAATAAAATTTCCATTCTACCAGAGAGGATGGTCTCTCTCTCAGAGCTCTTCACAATGTTCCCCCTTAATCTCCTTTTGCAGTTCAGTTTTATTAACTAAATTTGTTATTCCTGTGTGTGGCTTTATCCACTGTAAAATGCTAAAGGTATAAATTCACAAGATGCACAGTGTAGTATTTTGTAAGTCATTTGAAGAGATTGAGGTAAATGTTTTCACAGTGCCTATGATGGCCAGTATTTATGATATGAACCAGTAGTTTCTTTGACGTGTATTATTTCATCCTGCACCATTTCATTTAATCTGTGCCATAATCTGTACAGAAGGCAGGCTCCATCTTTACCAAGGAAGAAATTGAGCTCTGAGGAAGTTCATTTGCTTGTCAAAGATCAGCCAGCCAGGTAGTGGCAGAATTATTCCCAACAATTTTTGCCTTTTTTCCTATCCTAGAGGAGTTGCCTGCCACCTAAGTGGCCAGTTCTCCCTACCAGATGGCTTCCCCCAAAAGGCAGATCCTTTGAAAAGCATCTTGCAGTCTCAGGAAAATGTCTCTCCATTAACATAGTGGAGTTTGCTATCTCTGGCCAAAATCACTGTAAATCTAACCCAGAGAGACCCCATGCCCCCAACCATGGCCCCTTGCAGCAGATGGAACAATTTCCCCAGTATTTCTGAGCAAACTTTGTTTCACAAGGCAAACCAGTGAAGGAATGATACCCAGGCTCTCCAGCTGAGCTGTATTTCCACTTGGGGTAAGTTTGAGTTTAAATGAGGTTCATTAGCATATAACTGGGCCGCAAATATGTTGATGAGGGTCATGGATCTTCTGTTCAGAATTTGGCTGGCAGCACTCTGGTTTTACATTTTGCCACATAGATTTAATTCTCCTTAGTGGAAGAAAACCACATTAAGAAGTCATTTCCCTCCTCACAGAGGCAGATACAACGCCATTGCTACAGGCGAGTCAGACGGGATTGCTATTTTTCTACTCAAGAACTAATTTTCATTTTGATACTAGCTTTAGGTCTGTTATAAATCCATCTTGTAACCATTCAATAGGATGACAAAGAACAATATATACAGCCCAGAAAATATGGCCTTCCCACTTCTGGTGCTGCCATTGAAAAGACACAGAAATCCAGCATTAAGTGGCTTCATCACCACAGATCATACCAGATGAATCCAAATAATTTAGGGCCTGTGAACATTAATGCCTCCCTGGTTATTAGGAGACCGTCTGTTATTGTCATATGCCTTACAGATGGCAACGTTGTGCCGACACTTCGAAGTTGTTTATGCGAGGTAGGGAAATAAATAAAACAAAAACTAATCATATTTGCAAAGCTCTGTTGTATATGGTTTTTAAAACTTAGAGCTTTCCCCCCTTAAAGCCCCAGATGGAAGAACGTGGCTTTCTTTAGAACAGCAGGGCTCGATGCCCGCTGGAATCACCTGGGGAACTTTAAAAAACACTATTGTCTGGGTCCACCCAGGGATTCTGATTTAATTTGTTTGGGGACAGCCTGGGTTTGGGGATTTTTTTTTTTTTTTTCCCAAACTTCTCAGTCTAAGGTGCACTTACTCGTTGAGAAGCAAGGCATTTGGGAGAAATGTGTATATGTATAGATACAGCACATGTACATAGAGAAATAATACATTTGCCTTAAAGCCCATTGCTGGCCGCCCTATCAATAGAATAGAGGCTGTTCTTTGCAAACCCTGCTCTCAACTGCTTTTCTTGTCTGCAGAAATAGGGAGCCCAGGAATGATCCTGATGAGCAAGACTTGTGTCTTCGAAGAGCCACCCAGGTGACTTGGAAATTAAACATGGTGGTGTGGTTTGGAGTACATTTCCGCTTCGCTGAGGCAATGCAAGAACCTCCTGGCTGCAAGCCACTGCCCGCTGGCAAAGGTAAGCTCTAGTGACCTCAAACAGTGGTTTATGCAGAAGGCACTAGATGCCTGAAGGAAGCTTTAATGGGGTGGGAGGCACTTCAGATGAACCTTCCAGATTAATTTAGGCTGTCCACAGGGAAAGGGAGTGACCACTTACTAATATATACTGCTAAGGGCTGGCCCTGGCACTGTAACATGGAAACAGACCCTTGTACTGTCCTTATGGGGTACCTAGGTAAGGAGAATAGGCACCAATGGTTATTATAAATGAGGGGGGCATTTCCAAATGGGAGGGCTGCTGCTGGGGGCGCCTGGCCCAGTTTGGAAGGCTTTTGAGTCTCAGCCTGGTAAAGAAACAGAGTGCTATAGGACAGAGTGCTCAGTCCATTAAGCAGCTGACTTCAGCTCAGGTCATGATTTCACAGTTTGTGAGTTCAAGCTGCACGCCCGGCTCTGTGCTGACGTTGCAGAGCTTGCTTGGGATTCTCTCTGTCTCTTAAAATAAACAAACTTTAAAAAAAAAAAAAAAAGAAAAGAAACAGAGTGAAGGGGGAGGAGCTCTTATCTAGGGCACATCTAGCAACATCTCCTTAAGAAGATAAGGTTAGGCTCAGATTTTTTCAAAGAGAGGGCAAGCTCCTTAACCTCTGTGTGCCTCAGTTTTCCCCACTGTAAAAAGGGAGCAGTGAGAGTTTTGAGAAGATGTGCTTGTAGTACATAGTGGCAACAAACACTCAGTACCAGTTTTTACTACTATTAGGCTGGATATACTCTCCTCATGATGGTTGACCACTGACCAACCCAGAGAGGTTTTGTCCAGGAGTAAACTTGCCTTTCCTATCTTCATGGTTCCCCAATGATGTGTGGTTTTTGGACCTTAAAAACCCTGAAAGGACTAGGAGCTATGGTCAGAATTCAGGGCCAAACCAATGACTAGTGATATACTGAAGTCTGAGGATGAAATTTAGCTCCCGTGGCTTTAAAATGACCTATAATAATCCCCAACTCTCAGGGTTGTTTTAAGGAGTGAAAAAGATATCAATGGAGGCTGCTCACAGGTCAAGATCAAGGTCCTAGAATAAAAGCATGTGGTAATGGTCAAATGCGGTCAAAATTACCCTAAAAGCCTGGCTGCCAGAGTTAGCAAATAAAAATATGAAATCAAATTAACTGAGTGTCTTACACATCTCATGCAGTATTTGGGACATCTTCTTATTAAAAGGATTACTTGTTTATCTGGTAACTCAGAGTCCAGGAGACCCCCTTTGGGAACAACAACAACAACAAAAAACCCCACAGGAAGTATGGGCTCACATTTGGGTTGTTCCCACACCTGCCTTGCTGTGAATCCTGGAGAAGACACAGGCTGTCCAAAGGAAAATCAAAGCTAGCGTCTTGTGCACTCCAAGGCTTAGTATTGGATGAAATGAGGAGTATTCTTCAAACCTCGCAGCTCATTGGTTCCTAGGTGCACACTTTTTCACGTGTCTGAAATCCAAGTGTGCTCCACAATCAACGGTGTGTCATAATTTCATTGGCAGTGATTTTCTTTGTTAGCACTCCGTGAAGGACCACTTCTGCTTCCAGCTGACAGCGTCTGGGGTTCAGTGCACTATGGTGCTCCCTCTTTCCTCTTGGTAATCACATCACACAAGGTAAATGGCCGTGACAGTGCTCAACACCACAGCACATTCCTTTCCTTCTCTCAAGGCAGCAGTGAACCTGTTAAGCAGTTGACACTGTTTTCACAGGCACTTGGTTCTTTAGGGGAAAGTGCTCACCAGAGTTACAAAGTTTGCAAAAAAATTTGAGCCAAAAAGCGTTTATACACATTTAAGAGAGTGAAGTCTGTGATGACTCCGGGAAGGGCATTCTATTTCTATATAACTTCGGAAAGAGATTTAAAAAAAAGTGTATCTGCAGTCATTCCACTTTATCTGCCTGAAATGATTTTGGAGAAGGTAGTGTTAACAGGATTTCTGACTGAAGTAGTGATATGCGTCGATTTTGATTCCGCTCCTTCCTGGGCATTGAGCGTGCTATCACAAGGTATGTGGGGTAAAGATCAATTCCCTGATGTAATGCTCAAACTGCCTTGGCTATTGACTTTTTTATAGCTCTGTAATGGAATACAGTAGGAAGAATGATTCACAATAACTTAAATGTTTTTCGGAATTTGGAACTAACCTGTAGTAAAATGCCAAATTGTCTTCTGGGGGGGCGGGGGGAGGGGAAGGGGGGGAGAAACAATTTAATACCACTTCTTAAAGAAGCAAGTGCTGAATATAAACTTGAATGTTGTTACAGAGTACATTAATATATTTCATTTCATTGTTATGTTTTCTAAAACAACATAAAGAGCAGAAAGCTTAAAGTATTTCTTACAGGTTGA